TGGTTTCTCACCCACGGTTGTACAAGACCAGGAGAGAGACTGACACTGGTTTTCTCACCCACGGTTGTACAAGACCAGGGAGAGTCTGACACTGGTTTCTCACCCACGGTTGTACAAGACCAGGGAGAGTCTGACACTGGTTTCTCACCCACGGTTGTACAAGACCGAGGAGAGTCTGACACTGGCTTACTCAACCACGGTTGTACAAGACCAGGGAGAGTCTGACACTGGTTTCTCACCCACGGTTGTACAAGACCAGGGAGAGACTGACACTGGTTTCTCACCCACGGTTGTACAAGACCAGGGAGAGTCTGACACTGGTTTCTCAACCACGGTTGTACAAGACCAGGGAGAGTCTGACACTGGTTTCTCACCCACGGTTGTACAAGACCAGGGAGAGACTGACACTGGTTTCTCACCCACGGTTGTACAAGACCAGGGAGAGACTGACACTGGTTTCTCACCCACGGTTGTACAAGACCAGGGAGAGACTGACACTGGTTTCTCACCCACGGTTGTACAAGACCAGGGAGACACTGACACTGGTTTCTCAACCACGGTTGTACAAGACCAGGGAGAGTCTGACACTGGTTTCTCACCCACGGTTGTACAAGACCAAGGAGAGACTGACACTGGTTTCTCACCCACGGCTGTACAAGACCAGGGAGAGACTGACACTGGTTTCTCACCCACGGTTGTACAAGACCAGGGAGAGGCTGACACTGGTTTCTCACCCACGGTTGTACAAGACCAGGGAGAGTCTGACACTGGTTTCTCACCCACGGTTGTACAAGACCAGGGAGACACTGACACTGGTTTCTCACCCACGGTTGTACAAGACCAGGGAGAGTCTGACACTGGTTTCTCACCCACGGTTGTACAAGACCAGGGAGAGACTGACACTGGTTTCTCACCCACGGTTGTACAAGACCAGGGAGAGACTGACACTGGTTTCTCACCCACGGTTGTACAAGACCAGGGAGAGACTGACACTGGTTTCTCACCCACGGATGTACATGACCAGGGAGAGACTGACACTGGTTTCTCACCCACGGTTGTACAAGACCAGGGAGAGACTGACACTGGTTTCTCACCCACGGTTGTACAAGACCAGGGAGAGTCTGACACTGGCTTATCACCCACTGTTGTACAAGACCAGGGAGAGACTGACTCTGGTTTCTCACCCACGGTTTTACAAGACCAGGGAGAGACTGACACTGGTTTCTCACCCACGGTTGTACATGACCAGGGAGAGTCTGACACTGGTTTCTCACCCACGGTTGTACAAGACCAGGGAGAGTCTGACACTGGTTTCTCACCCACGGTTGTACAAGACCAGGGAGACACTGACACTGGTTTCTCACCCACGGTTGTACAAGACCAGGGAGAGACTGACACTGGTTTATCAACCACGGCTGTACAAGACCAGGGAGACACTGACACTGGTTTCTCACCCACGGTTGTACAAGACCAGGGAGAGACTGACACTGGTTTCTCACCCACGGTTGTACAAGACCAGGGAGAGACTGACACTGGTTTCTCAACTACGGTTGTACAAGATCAGGGAGAGTCTGACACTGGTTTCTCACCCACGTTTGTACACGACGAGGGAGACACTGACACTGGTTTCTGACCCACGGTTGTACAAGACCAGGGAGAGTCTGACACTGGTTTCTCACCCACTGTTGTACAAGACCAGGGAGACACTGACACTGGTTTCTCACCCACGGTTGTACAAGACCAGGGAGAGACTGACTCTGGTTTCTCACCCACGGTTGTACATGACCAGGGAGAGACTGACACTGGTTTCTCACCCACGGTTGTAAAAGACCAGGGAGAGTCTGACACTGGTTTCTCACCCACGGTTGTACAAGACCAGGGAGAGACTGACACTGGTTTCTCACCCACGGTTGTACAAGACGAGGGAGAGACTGACACTGGTTTCTCAACCACGGCTGTACAAGACCAGGGAGAGTCTGACACTGGTTTCTCACCCACGGTTGTACAAGACCAGGGAGAGACTGACACTGGTTTCTCACCCACGGTTGTACAAGACGAGGGAGAGACTGACACTGGTTTCTCACCCACGGTTGTACAAGACCAGGGAGAGACTGACACTGGTTTCTCACCCACGGTTGTACAAGACCAGGGAGAGTCTGACACTGGTTTCTCACCCACGGTTGTACAAGACCAGGGAGAGTCTGACACTGGTTTCTCAACCACGGTTGTAGAAGACCAGGGAGAGACTGACACTGGTTTCTCACCCACGGTTGTACAAGACCAGGGAGACACTGACTCTGGTTTCTCAACCACGGTTGTACAAGACGAGGGAGAGACTGACACTGGTTTCTGACCCACGGTTGTACAAGACCAGGGAGAGACTGACACTGGTTTCTCAACCACGGTTGTACAAGATCAGGGAGAGTCTGACACTGGTTTCTCACCCACGTTTGTACACGACGAGGGAGACACTGACACTGGTTTCTGACCCACGGTTGTACAAGACCAGGGAGAGTCTGACACTGGTTTCTCACCCACTGTTGTGCAAGATCAGGGAGACACTGACACTGGTTTCTCACCCACGGTTGTACAAGACCAGGGAGAGACTGACACTGGTTTCTCACCCACGGTTGTACAAGATCAGGGGAGAGTCTGACACTGGTTTCTCACCCACGGTTGTACACGACGAGGGAGACACTGACACTGGTTTCTGACCCACGGTTGTACAAGACCAGGGAGAGTCTGACACTGGTTTCTCACCCACTGTTGTGCAAGATCAGGGAGACACTGACACTGGTTTCTCACCCACGGTTGTACAAGACCAGGGAGAGACTGACACTGGTTTCTCACCCACGGTTGTACAAGACCAGGGAGACACTGACACTGGTTTCTGACCCACGGTTGTACAAGACCAGGGAGAGTCTGACACTGGTTTCTCACCCACAGTTGTACAAGACAAGGGAGAGTCTGACACTGGTTTCTCACCCACGGCTGTACAAGATCAGGGTGACACTGACACTGGTATCTCACCCACGGTTGTACAAGACCAGGGAGAGTCTGACACTGGTTTCTCACCCACGGTTGTACAAGACCAGGGAGAGACTGACACTGGTTTCTCACCCACGGTTGTACAAGACCAGGGAGAGTCTGACACTGGTTTCTCACCCACGGTTGTACATGACGAGGGAGAGTCTGACACTGGTTTCTCACCCACGGTTGTACAAGACGAGGGGGAGTCTGACACTGGCTTACCAACCACTGTTGTACAAGACCAGGGAGAGTCTGACACTGGTTTCTCAACCACGGTTGTACAAGACCAGGGAGAGTCTGACACTGGTTTCTCACCCACGGTTGTACAAGACCAAGGAGAGACTGACACTGGCTTCTCACCCACGGTTGTACAAGACCAGGGAGAGTCTGACACTGGTTTCTCAACCACGGTTGTACAAGACCAGGGAGAGTCTGACACTGGTTTCTCACCCACGGTTGTACAAGACCAGGGAGAGTCTGACACTGGTTTCTCACCCACGTTGTACAAGACCAGGGAGAGTCTGACACTGGTTTCTCACCCACGGTTGTACAAGACCAGGGAGAGTCTGACACTGGTTTCTCACCCACGGTTGTACAAGACCAGGAAGAGACTGACACTGGTTTCTCACCCACGTTTGTACAAGACCAGAGAGAGATTGACACTGGTTTCTCAACCACGGTTGTACAAGACCAGGGAGAGTCTGACACTGGTTTCTCACCCACGTTGTACAAGACCAGGGAGAGTCTGACACTGGTTTCTCACCCACGGTTGTACAAGACCAGGGAGAGTCTGACACTGGTTTCTCACCCACGGTTGTACAAGACCAGGAAGAGACTGACACTGGTTTCTCACCCACGTTTGTACAAGACCAGAGAGAGATTGACACTGGTTTCTCAACCACGGTTGTACAAGACCAGGGAGAGACTGACACTGGTTTCTCACCCACGGTTGTACAAGACGAGGGAGACACTGACACTGGTTTCTCAACCACGGTTGTACAAGACCAGGGGGAGTCTGACACTGGTTTCTCACCCACGGTTCTACAAGACCAAGGAGAGACTGACACTGGTTTCTCACCCACGTTTGTACAAGACCAGGGAGAGACTGACACTGGTTTCTCACCCACGGTTGTACAAATCCAGGGAGAGGCTGACACTGGTTTCTCACCCACGGTTGTACAAGACCAGGGAGAGTCTGACACTGGTTTCTCACCCACGGTTGTACAAGACCAGGGAGACACTGACACTGGTTTCTCACCCACGGTTGTACAAGACCAGGGAGAGTCTGACACTGGCTTATCACCCACTGTTGTACAAGACCAGGGAGAGACTGACACTGGTTTCTCACCCACGGTTTTACAAGACCAGGGAGAGACTGACACTGGTTTCTCACCCACGGATGTACATGACCAGGGAGAGACTGACACTGGTTTCTCACCCACGGTTGTACAAGACCAGGGAGAGTCTGACACTGGTTTCTCACCCACGGTTGTACAAGACGAGGCGGTGTCTGACACTTGTTTCTCACCCACGGTTGTACAAGACCAGGGAGAGATTGACAATCGTTTCTCACCCACGGTTGTACAAGACCAGGGAGAGTCTGACACTGGTTTCTCACCCACGGTTGTACAAGACCAGGGAGAGATTGACACTGGTTTCTTGCCCACGGTTGTCGAGACCGGGGAGAGATTGACAATTGTTTCTCACCCACGGTTGTACAAGACCAGGGAGAGCCTGACACTGGTTTCTCACTAACGGTTGTACAAGACCAGGGAGAGTCTGACACTGGTTTCTCACCCACGGTTGTACAAGACCAGGGAGAATCTGACACTGGTTTCTCACCCACGGTTGTACAAGACCAGGGAGAGATTGACAAATGTTTCTCACCCATGGCTGTAGAAGGCCAGGGAGATATTGACAATTGTTTCTCACCCACAGCTCTACAAGTCCAGAGAGACACTGACACTGACCTTCTACGGTTAGACTGGCAGTAGCGCTATCCTCCCCGATGTTGTTCCTGGCGAGGCATGTGTAACTTCCCGCGTCTTCCTTCACAGCGCCACGTAGTACCAGCGTTCCATTTGGGTATTTAGATATTCTACCTTGGAACTGGAAGTTTATAACATATATTTATATTTATCTGTATTTGGGCTGTTGTCAGTACACTTTAGATGAAAATACCAAACCTACTCACCATCAGTTGACTTTGGAGTCCTTTCGTATCTACCTTGAGCCAAGTGACATCGGGTCGAGGGTTACCTATGACTACACAATCGAACACTGCCGTGTACGTCTCAGGAACAGTCACATTTCCGGGTGGAAGAACAAGGGCGGGTCTACCTGGTGATGATGATAGCATAATCATGGACATGACCGTAATACACACGATAACCTGCCGGCACTGACGACATATATCATTTACAAAAAGAAACTGTGCGCTTAGGAAATATATATTAGAACTACACGTGTAAACAAATACAGGAGTAAACACAGTAATTAGTGAATTGTATAAGCTACATTCATGTATAAGCTACGTTTCCTGCATGTGCATGTGCGTTTAGCACATGGATGTAAAAACTGCTGTCGATTTGTGAAGTTTAACCGTGTGACGTTTGATCATTTAAAAACTAAACGGCTAATGAACCACACATCATGCTTCGAGTAAAGAGTGCCCAACGTCATGGGGGATGGTCCGTGGAAAGGTCCCAATACAGGGGGCTGTTTCCCCGCCACAGGAACACCATGTCAGCACTGTTGAGACGTTATCAGACGTTTCATTAAGTTTCTTAAGTTGCCGATCGCCAGCGTGCAGACGACATGATAAATGTATACGGGTGACCCATCCTGGGCACAGGCCACCACTGCTCAGAGCATTCCAGACTCATTCAGAACCGCTTACGTCATTACGGAATACGACCACGTCGTTCCGCCATACAACCTATCATTGACTCAACGTCATCGAGGAAATCGGTGCCAATATCGTGACGCCAACCTCGGTAGTGACGTCTTGGGTGTTGTATGCTCCAGCGTTTGGGAGGGGATGAATTCACGTCAGAGGACCCCTTTAGTTGTTGTGCAGGGCAGTCTGACAGGTGTGGGTTACAGAGACCAGGTTGTCGAACCAGTGGCATTTCCGTTTATTCAACGCCGTGGTCCACGATTGCCATTTCAACGGCGCTATGCCCGTCCTCACACGAACGCACGAGTTGCTGTGAATTTCTTCAACAGCACGATGTTTAAGTACTGCCTTGGCCTGCAAATTCGTCGGATGTCTCCCCTGTAGAGTATGTGTGGGATTAAACGGAGTGACGTTGTTGTCAAAGACCGTACTTGCGTCATATCAATGGAGCAATGTCTCATGACAACTGGGAAAAGGCCCGTTGAAATTCATTGTAATCGTTGATTTCGCCCTTTGAACATGTAACCCCCTCAACAACAAGCGTGTAACAGACAGGACGAGGCAACTGAAACACCGAGATCAGTTAGGTTAGTTAGATCTGTTTCTAATTCCCCAGTGGTGGGGTAGGGGTTGGTTGGGTGGGGTCTCAGGCTCGCTGACTTGGTTGACACATGTCATCGTATCCGTATTGCGCGTAGATCGATGCTCATGATGTTGATTACTGGCTGACTGACTCACTCACTACATGTTATTATATGCGATCGAAATGTGAACGGATGGTTGTTGGGAAGTCAGGATTTAGGATCAGATAATCAAATGCCTAATGTAATTATGTACACATCACACACATGTTGACCGATATGTTTCACCCCTGAGGTAATGAGAGTGACCATGCCTACATCCATTGGTGACATACACGAATTGCTCCGAGACTCTCTGCCGCGTTATGTACGTGCAATATGTTGCATGTACACGGTTTAAGCAAGCAGCATCCAGTGTTCTTGACTCATGTACCTACCAAAGGTATCGATGGCTTAGTTCACTACAGTAAGAATATTCTTGCTCTGACCCCATTGTACACGTTTTCATTATAATTAACTACATAACGATATTACATATACAGTATGGCTGCCTTACCCTGGACTGTGAGTAATGCTTGGCTACTGTTGGTGGACTGGAGGAGGACTGTGTTTGTTGCCACGCAGCTGTAGTATCCCTGGTCTCTGTATGTGACAGAGGGGATGGTCAGTCTGCTCCTGTAATCCGTCTGTGTAACGTCACCTGACCTGAGTAGCATGCCATCCTTTACCCACCAGATGACAGGGAGGGGTACACTTTCCACGGCGCACTCGAGCGAGGTTGATGCACCTACTCTTGCTGTATGGCTGGCAGGGTCAATTGCAAACGACGGCAAGCCTGTGTTAGAAAATATAAGTATTATAGTAATAAGTTATGTAACACTTCATCAATGACATTTCGTTATTACACTGGTCTAGCACTGTTTACCAGAGATTTGTTGTTCGGCTAGCTTGTCCAGCAGCTGATTACAGCACAATCTCGACAATCGCAAATAGTAACAGGGACTAAATACTTTGCTAGGAGAGTCCTCGGAATTAGATTAGACACCTCGATCGAGACGCACCTCAACTGATGCTTCTTTGAATTTACTATCGCGACATGCCCTCTGTTTATCCAGTACAAAATAATATTCTTTTGTAATCTACCAACGATGGAAATCCTTCAGTAGTAATTTCAAGTAGGAGACCTCTCTATTGCAGAGGCGAGACCCTCCTGAAATTACACTACTGCCATGTAATGTTTCTTTCCAACGTTGTTCCGATGTATATACTAGTACCCGTGAAATATATATTGCTCAGTTATATCGGTGTGTAAAGTACAGCCCATGAATATCACTTTATAAAGTACTGCCCGTGAATATCACTTTACAAAGTACTGCCCGTGAATATCACTTTATAAAGTACTGCCCATGAATATCACTTTATAAAGTACTGCCCATGAATATCACTTTATAAAGTACTGCCCATGAATATCACTTTACAAAGTACTGCCAATGAATATCACTTTATAAAGTACTGCCCATGAATATCACTTTACAAAGTACTGCCAATGAATATCACTTTATAAAGTACTGCCAATGAATATCACTTTATAAAGTACTGCCCGTGAATATCACTTTACAAAGTACTGCCAATGAATATCACTTTATAAAGTACTGCCCGTGAATATCACTATATAAAGTACCGCCCAAGAATATCACTTTATAAAGTACTGCCCGTGAATATCACTTTACAAAGTACTGCCAATGAATATCACTCTATAAAGTACTGCCCGTGAATATCACTATATAAAGTACTGCCCATGAATATCACTTTATAAAGTTCTGCCCGTGAATATCATTTTATAATTTGGTGAAGAATATATTTGTCCAGTGTACTGCCAGTGAATATATTTGTCCAGTGTATTTGGCAATGAATATATTTGTCCAGTGTACTCACAATGAATATAGTTGTCCAGTGTACTCATAATGAATTTATTTTTGTCCAGTGTATTGGCAATTAAAAAAACTCAAGGCAAAAGATAGTGTGATCAACACATTTGTTTACATGACTGATATTTTTTTAATAACGCATTTTAATATTCTTAATAACACACTTAATCCATAATCCAGACAGGGCCCTGTTGGTTGTGTTTGTTTTACATACGTGAGAAAATAGGCATAAATGTGCCCTTTTAAAAACTGTAGCTCTAAACCTCGAATCAATGACACCCAAATAATAGTTTAGACGTCGACGAATCTGAAAAACACAAATATGGAAGAATCTGCTTGCATTTCAAACTGAAAGATGGCGAGCCATTTGAAACCGACACACCTCAGCGAAACGCTGCACAACAGTTTAACGTGCACAGGAACAAAATATGCCGCTTGTGGAGACATCGTGGCCGTCCACCTGTAACCACGTCACGCAACGGTCGTTGGATTCCAACCACCCATCTGCGCCAAAGATTCCATCCAGCCACACTGACAGCCCGAACAGTTCCTGATGTCAACAGGATACCGCCAAGGGCCATTCGCCGGCCAGACGACAGATTTTGACATTTTCAACGTCAACGCCATGGTGCAGACAACATCTGCGGTGGAGAACATGTGAGTGGAGACGTGTTCTCTTCACTATTGTGGCTGATTAGGGCCATCGCTTTCTCGCCTTAAAATTCGGAGGGTTAGGTTCACTGTCGAGTCCAGATTCTCTTGCCAGAACCAGAGTTTACCGGCGATGTGGTGAGCGTTATGTTAGGAACTGTGTCCTTGAGGCCGGCTGTTTTGGCGGCGGTGGAGTGGTGGCTTGGGGTTGGATAACGAGTGCTGGACGTACACCTTTGCTTGTCATCAATGGAAATGTAACGGTTCACAGGTACAGAGACGTACTTGCTAATCCAATCGTCATACCGTTTCTCGACCAGAATGGCCCAGGAATGATCTTCCAGCAGAATGGCCCAGGAATGATCTTCCAGCAGGACAACGCCAGAACTCATGACGCCAGGGTGGTTCAGCAGTTATTCGTGCAGCACAATGTTAACTAAATCCCCAGATCTGTCCCATATCGAACACGTCTGGGACGAAATGGAGCGGGCATTGCGGCGTTGGCCAAATCCCCCAGTCATGCTTCAGGAACTCCGCCAGTTGCTGCCACAGATATTGAATGCCAATCCACAAGACATTTTGCGACGTTTGATCGGCTCTACGAGGCGCAGGTGTGAAGAATGCTCATGGTGGACATACACGCTATTGAATCTGTGAATTTCACTTTGACCGTTCGCCCACTGTGACCTGATTAGAATGTGTCCGTCAGAAAAGTTTAAGACTCCCCATTTGCAATCCTATTGTGGAATGATTTTCTTGCAAAATATAAAAAGTCTCATCATAAAAATATCAGTTGTTAATTCACATATTTGTCTTCAAGTCAGTCACAACAACTTTTGCCTTTGAGCATATTTGTTGTGTAATGTATTGACAATGGTACACTGAATAAATATATTCATCAGCGGTACACTAGACAAATATATTTGTCTAGTGTACCGCTGATGAATATATTCGTAAAGTGTACCGCTGATGAATATATTTGTCCAGTGTACTGCTGATGAATATATTTGTCCAGTGTACCGCTGATGAATATATTTGTCCAGTGTACCTCTGATGAATATATTTGTACAGTGTACCGCTGATGAATATATTTGTCCAGTGTACCGCTGATGAATATATTTGTCTAGTGTACCGCTGATGAATATATTCGTAAAGTGTACCGCTGATGAATATATTTGTCCAGTGTACCGCTGATGAATATATTTGTCCAGTGTACTGCTGATAAATATATTTGTCCAGTGTACCGCTGATGAATATATTTGTCCAGTGTACCGCTGATGAATATATTTGTCTAGTGTACCGCTGATAAATATATTTGTCTAGTGTACCGCTGATAAATATATTTGTAAAGTGTACCGCTGATGAATATATTTGTCCAGTGTACCGCTGATGAATATATTTGTCCAGTGTACCGCTGATAAATATATTTGTCCAGTGTACCGCTGATGAATATATTTGTCCAGTGTACCGCTGATGAATATATTTGTCTAGTGTACCGCTGATAAATATATTTGTAAAGTGTACCGCTGATGAATATATTTGTCCAGTGTACCGCTGATGAATATATTTGTCTAGTGTACCGCTGATGAATATATTTGTAAAGTGTACCGCTGATGAATATATTTGTAAAGTGTACCGCTGATGAATATATTTGTCCAGTGTACCGCTGATGAATATATTTGTCCAGTGTACCGCTGATGAATATATTTGTCCAGTGTACCGCTGATGAATATATTTGTCCAGTGTACCGCTGATGAATATATTTGTCCAGTGTACCGCTGATGAATATATTTGTCCAGTGTACCGCTGATGAATATATTTGTCCAATGTACCGCTGATGAATATATTTGTCCATTGTACCGCTGATGAATATATTTGTCCAGTGTACCGCTGATGAATATATTTGTCCAATGTACCGCTGATGAATATATTTGTCCAGTGTACCGCTGATGAATATATTTGTCCAGTGTACCGCTGATGAATATATTTGTCCAGTGTACCGCTGATGAATATATTTGTCCAGTGTACCGCTGATGAATATATTTGTCCAGTGTACCGCTGATGAATATATTTGTCCAGTGTACCGCTGATGAATATATTTGTCCAGTGTACCGCTGATGAATATATTTGTCCAGTGTACCGCTGATGAATATATTTGTCCAGTGTACCGCTGATGAATATATTTGTTCAGTGTACCGCTGATGAATATATTTGTCCAGTGTACCGATGATGAATATATTTGACAGGTGTGTGACAATTGTGACGAGGTGGTGACAAGATGAATAGGAAATGGATTTTGGTCTGACATTACAAGTTGACACTCAAAAATGTAACTGGGTGATGTGTGATACAAGACGATATACTAGTTGTACTTACTTGCTAGTCTCAGGCTTGCAGGTCTCGAGTAAATGCTCTGTCTCCCATTGAGGGCGATGCAGCTATAGGTTCCGGTGCTTTGTGCCTGAACATTTTTCACCAGAAGACTGCCGTTAGCATAGATCACGGTATTCTGGTCACGGACAAGGTCAGCGTCTTTAAAGCGCCAACTGAAAAGATACGGATATCAACCTTTCAGCTTTCAGGCAATCTTAATATCAATACATATAACTATGGGATATAACTGTTGTGTCTACAAATTTGTGTGACAGTGCGTTTCGTGGAGAGCTCTTACTTGCACGAAACTGCTTACATCTTTCAGAAAGCTTTCTACTACGTATGTGGAGGACAATTAAAATATGATGTTTGGTGACCACATTTATGCCCAATGCAATTCCTTGACATGGTTGATTGGTTGGTTTGCTGTTTAACGCAGCGGTCAGCACAGTTGGACATGGTGGCTGGACGTGGTGGCTGGACGTGGTGGCTGGACGAGGTGGTTGGACGTGGTGGTTGGACGTGGTGGCTGGACGTGGTGGCTGGACGTGGTGACTGGACGTGGTGGCTGGACGTGGTGGCTTGACGTGGTGGCTGGACGTGGTGGCTGGACGTGGCGGCTGGACGTGGTGCTCGTGATCCGTACAGTCCCTGCACTAATCGTGCGTCCAGAGCTTGGTCGGTTGTTGGTGTTGGTAGCCTGTTTGTGCTGATGCCAGCGTGACGTTATGCTACGATGAACAACACTCCGCCTGGCAGGAACATGTGAGTTGTCCATGGAAAGACCACTGCCTTACAACACACCGCCTAGCAAGAACATGTGGGTTGTCCATGGAAACCACTGCCTTACAACACACCGCCTAGCAAGAACATGTGAGTTGTCCATGGAAAGACCACTGCCTTACAACACACCGCCTAGCAAGAACATGTGAGTTGTCCATGGAAACCACTGTCTTACAACACACCGCCTAGCAGGAACATGTGGGTTGTCCATGGAAACCACTGTCTTACAACACACCGCCTGGCAGGAACATATTAGTTGTCCATGGAAAGACCACTGGAGAAACATACTCAAGTACCAACAGGAATGCGTCACGCGTCTGCATTTTGCCTTACAATATACCGCCGACATTACTCGTCATTCCGTTTCTTATTCATCCATTACTTGCAACCTCTTTGTATTTCTGTAATCTTCTCTTATTTATGAATACCTCTTATATTTTCGATAGAATATGTACTGGGTAACGCACGCATTTTTCTGAATGGATGAAGTATGGAATACTCCAAATGGCAGTTCCACTATTTGTTTCTTTATAATTGAAGGTGATTAAATACATGCTCAATTTAATATTCGTGTTATAATAATATTTAAATGTGTGTGACTCCAAGGGATATGCAAGCATTATATAATAATACATACATGATTTTTTAATTGGGTGTATCCACCTCGGATTAATGTCACAGAATTGTGCAATTTCGTTATAAACCACAGTGCCTAATATAACTGCCACGCACACCGTTATTCTTTGACGTCACTCGAATCGTCATGAGACCATCAACACTGAATGGATCTGTCAATGTTCATCTGTTCAAACTTCAAAATTGTTTTAAAACCGGAAACAGCTATTTTTCAAATCTAATGGCATCACGCTAATCACAGCTTTTTTGTGTTATCATATAGGCCTACATTTTCGAAGCGACCCTTGCCCTTGAATTATCATAAATATATCCAAGGAAATCGTAGACTGTCGCAGAATATTTTCAAAACTACCGTAGCCCTAAGATATCGCAAGATTGTTGTAAATCTAAGACAGCTTCATCCATACCTGTCGGTAAACATCTGACAGTTTGTGTTAACACACTTTGTGAATCACATCCACCCTTTGAGCACACAAAGATTTAATGTAAGAAATATTGTAAATAGGAATTCCAGCAACGACTGAGTCGATAGCCTGAACTATAACTTGTATGCAAGTATGTTCTATGAGAAGTAAGAAGCAACATGCCTTCACGATGATTTGGGAAGCAGATAGTGTCGGCTGGATACAGACGTGACGTGATCTATTCTACACTGTTAATACTAGTCCATGCTCTAGTAGGGAGTGGTTCCGCTGTATATATACCGTCGTCCTACTAGCCCCAGCTCAGTGTTACAAATTTCCTGAAGTTTTGTCTCAGTTGCTGCATTTTATAGAATAAAAGCAAATCAATCCACATAGTACGGCGAAGTTTCTTGACATTTTTCTCATTTATAATGAGTGTATATTTTTATTAATTTTACAAGGAAATGCATACAATGATATATCTGTGTAGTATATATGTATAAATGAAATGTTAAACGTTTTTCAAGCAAACATATCAGAGTTCTGTTCGAGGATTTTGTCGCTTTTGTAAATAACGCACATGGAAATTGTTGAATATTTCATGATTAAGTATAGCCTGTTTAACAACTGGAGACAGATCTCTGCTGATATTAAAAGCGTAGATGTATTCCATTTAATATAACGGTTCATCAAAATGTTATCTGGAAATCCCCATAGAGAAATGGAGTGAATGAGTGAGTAAGGTTTTACGCCGAATTTAGCAATATTCCAACAATATCACTGCAGTATGCACACATGGAATGAATTAGAATTCTTTCTTATTTTCAATAATGGCAATTTCAAAAATGAAATACAAAATGGGTTCGTTAAAAACTGGAAATTTTTATTTAAGAGGACGTTAATTCATTGAAATTTACCGAAGAATATATAATCGAACTCTATTTTGACGACAATGATCATATATTTTTGCATTTAGTAGACTGTTTAAAAAATAATACTTGGAGTTGATCTTATCAAACTGTAAACAATAAGCAATGTTGACAGGCGAATCTTATGACGTATCGTAAGAAATTTTTGAAACCGTCAACGTCCTTAGATATCGTAAGAATGTCGTAAATCTGAGATAGCTCCATATCTTCACGAACTATGTAACATTGTGCTTGGGCTCGTCTAGTGTCAGCACAAAGAGCAAGTGAAATCACTCCAAACTGGAGTGTGTCCTGAGATGACCCTAACTGACCATGAGTTGTACAAATTGTAATTACGGTTGCCAGCCAACACTATCGAATTATCGACAAAAATATGTTATATGCATATTGTCATAGCAAACAAAACTCGGATACAGCAGCCTGTTGCACATTGTCCTGACACATAGTGTTCTATCATACGCACCTGTAGGACAGAGTCGTTGTATCATCTGTTGCCGTGCACTCAAACCAGACGGAGGCGTTAGGTCTGACCACGGCGTCACTCGGCTCCCTGGTGAACTGAAGTGCTGGTAGAAAACGGTAAAATATAATAAACAGGGCAGAAGATTATAAAAAAAGGTATTACCACATTGCATAAAATCAGTCAAGTCAAGAAGATGTACACAACACTTACCCATTGCTACATTCAACAGACATGCAAGGAACACGCCTCCACTGTATTTCATGGCTGATGACAGTGTACGATCAGAGAGGACATGCCACACACCCCAGTCAGTCAGTGATGATCTGTAAAATAACAATCTGCCATGAAGGGGCCACGAATGCACAGAGTAACCGAATGCGATGTCGTTGTATCAAAAAGCTTAATTTTAATAGCAGTGCTGGGTCTGCGTAACAGTTATCAGTAATTATTACCAAGGCAGGGTATAAGAACTGTTTCAACCATCGCTTAAGTATGTATCGGGGATCCCTCCGAATATCAAGTTATTTCCTCCTCCTCGGCATCAGCAATAATACGAGACTGACTCCAGATCCTTAATGAAATGAACAGAGCAGATGTGATACAACTTCTGTCAAACATAATTTCATTTTTAATGGGTGATATGACACAACACTGACAAAAGGGGAATGTGGGTATCTTTATGTTTCTAAACCTACCTCACGTATAACGTCTTTTCGAAATCGTGTCATATGGTTAGACTATATAATCAGAGATGTGTATTGTAAATCCCCGGGCTGTGTATTGTAAATACCCAAGAAGTGAATTGTAAAGTGGGTTCCCAGACCACTGCTGTGACTTTGCACTGATCATTTCTAAACCTAGGATATTATTCATTATTGATACAACTTTGTCTTGCTATCACTGATCGTAAAATATCACATAATTGAAAACTTCCAATATATAGTGGCGATAACTGTTTTCGAACCTGCAACCCTTCGCTCTTTAACTTGGCGCTTTTATCCACTAGGCTACGAAGGATCCCTATAAAGAGCGAGATTGTTTGTCAGTATGAAACGTGTGTTCCTCATAAGACGGGTACTGCGGGCAGCGCACGTGCAGGTCACGGGTAGCACGTGCATTACGCGTGCAAGGCAAGTCGCATCCCAGTTGACACCGGCTGTTCCATCATTTGTGGGCTGTCCCATCAATGTTGTTCTGCTCGGGGCGTATTGATGTCGATCGTTATATATTATTTTAAAATATATTTTACGCAAAAACGGTTGATATGTCGGAGAAACCACTCCTACTCAGAGTAAACCTAGTAAACCCTAGTAGTCGTGGTTTCCCCTATACATCATTGGTAGGGACAATAATTTACTTTCATTTTGGTGTAATACTAATGCGCTTATCTTAATCTGTGAAATCTTTCACAGATTAAGGTAATATGCAGCAGAGCGAGGTCGGGTGTTCGGTAGCACATTTCCGTCTGGTAAGGCTCCGGTTAACGCAGCCAGGCAGAACCCACTCAGAACTTTCCGGAAAATATGGAGACTCCTCAACACTGCAGCCTTCTGCAGAAGGGCTGTACTCCCTATAAAGAACCTGGACATTCTCCTGATCTGCGCCATGAAATATGGAGGTACCGAACAAAGGGCACAGTTTTTCGCCTCACGACAGTGAACATGGGTTGCAAGCAATATATTTCAAAGACGAGGTCCACATATTAATTATGCTTTTCCTGAATCTTGGCAATCACTTTCCTGTCAAAAGGGTCAGAAAATGCAATAACATTAATCTATTCATTCGTTTTATAAAATATGACAAGATCAGGCTTATTACGTCTGAGACTGCATGTGGGCCTTCCACAGAAATTTAAAAACATTTTTTTTTATGGCGCCCAGTCGGCAGTGTTCCAGAGTTCCAGATGTTTATGGAGCAAAATATATATTCAGCCCAGAGACTTTCTTGAATTTGGGAAATCTGAAACTTGTCACGAACTTCCATTCGAAGATGGGTTTTGGCCTGGTCTTCCAAACGATCCTCAATAACTCCTCCCCTTTTGTAACTTGAGGTACTTGTGAAGTGTAAACTCAAGAGCTGAGAGCTCTTCAACAGTGAGTGAGTGAGTGAGTTTAATTTTACGCCCCTTTTAGCAATATTCCAGCAATATCACGGCGGGAACAGTGGAAATGGGCTTCACACATTGTACCTTAATTGGGAATCGAACCCGTATCGTCGGCATGACTAGCGAATGCTTTACCACTCAACTGTGGGGACCTGGGATAGAAGGTGTTCTCAGCACGCAATTGCTGGTCGTAAAAGGCGGCCGAATTGAGCAACCTGTTTGCCGTTGGTTGCGCCCATGTGTCGGTCAAGGACGAGATTCTGGTGGTTGAGGGCAGTGATTCCTACAATATTCTTTGCCTAATGCAATATCTTTACGTCGACGTAGCGTCAGTGGCCGCCATATTGGAAGGCGGTCAGCTATATGACAAGTGAAAGTAACAAAAGAATCAGTTTCTTTTATCAGTTAGTTTGTCCTTACGCTACACAAAGTTTCCGAAACGATCGGACTTAATGGTCAAATGACATTTGTGTTAACATATGATAATGTAACAATAAGACGGATAACAACGCCGACCACTGCTGCATGCAGACCAAGCGACGGGGACGACAGTATGACGGACGTCTAATGTATGCAGAGACCACTGACAACTTAACCTGGTTTTATAGTGCTAGCCCATTGAGATACCATGCCGCAGTGAAGCATGAATACCCCACTCAGACACATTATACTGACTCCGAGCCGACCAGTCCTTGTTGTACCCATTAAGTACCATATTATAACGTGTTTTGGTATGACGCGGTCGGGGATCGAACCCGCGACCTTCCGCCCTCCGGGCGGGCGCTCTAACCACTACACCACGGAGGCGGTTATCCAACATAGAGATTAACAGTAATATGTTTATCAGTTTTATAAAATTCAATTGATAGGTCAGTAATTGTGAATGATTATAACATTTCTTGTGGCAAATACATGCATAATATTGAAAGACAACTGCAATGATGTCTAAATACAATAAACAATGGTGTTTACTAAATGGATATAAATTTTCAAAATCTAAAACTAATTGTTTTCACTTTTGTAGAAACTATAAACCTCACCAGGATATGCACAATTATTTAAAGAAAATACACCACAAGATACTTGGTATTTTTAAGTTGTTTCAAACATTTATGGTGGAGATTGTAAAGGCAATTTAATATTTTAAGATACTATTCATCATCAAGGCCTTCTGAACCTCATCAATTCCTACTTATATTGACACTTCACAGGACCAAAAACCGGATAGTAAACCATTGAAATAAACGTAAATACAGTAGGAAATACATGCCATGACCGGATTTACGTATGTTTTCAGATATTTCCTAACTTCGGGCATATATTTCATATGAATCTATACCTTTGAAACATATGCTCATCGTACATTTTCGTATGCACAAGAACCTCGTTCATGTATGCCATGACCGGATTGTCAGGTATTTCCAAACATGAATTGCAAAACAGATACCCCAGGAAATACATGATCTTACAGTATTTCTGATGCATTCCTTTGAATTTCAATGGGTGCTGAAATTTACGATTTCGTTCTAAGTTTACCCAGGTTGGAAACATGTAAATTTACTTAGGTGGGGAAACACTTGTAAATTTTTCACATGTGCAAATGTTTACACACCTTAGATATTTATGTATCATACCGGATTTCAGGGGTATGTATATGAACGGTTCATACACCTTCATGTTACCTGTGCTCAAGCAAGATGATCATTTGTTTCCATCATGTGAATTACTTGGTTCATGTAATTTCATTTTCACACATTTTAGTACGTTTGAAATCAACGTTCACGTGACCTCATTATTCTTATCATCAAAAGAGCCTGACTAAGAAAGTGGTATTACGCAAGCTAACATGGCTTATTAAGCTGCGCTCGCACTTGTTGCCAGTATCAGTTACGCTTTGTCTGCGGTGTTGGCAAATTTTGTGAGTGGTGAACAAAGGGCGATGAGCTGCCCTTCGTCCTTGCAAGTGTCCCTAGCTGTCCCAACAGAATAGCACTTTATCTCTCTTGTAGTCTGTCTCACAGTCCCTGAACCACATTATTTTCCCTGCTGCCAAGCCCTCTCTGCAGTGCTAAAGCCCTAAATAAAGCAAGTCTAGATTTCCACAGGTTCTGAATCTCTAGTCTCCCTGGGGCGCCTTTCCATTTAAATGGGCTTGTTTGTTACTATCAAAATTATATATATTCAGAGACTAAGCATTAGTCTATCTCTCTTTCAGCACGGCCAAATACGCTACACGAACCAACTCGTAATTTCTTAAGTCTCTTCAGTTCGCGCATCAGTACTGTAAAATAAGTTTTGGCAGTACATAATTGGAATATTATTGCACTGCATGTGACCTTTCTTAATAGTCTCACAGTGCCTGAACCATGTTATTTCTCCTTCCGCTCAGCCTTTGCTGTAATAACGCCACACAAAAAATAGTTTTTATCGTGTAGCGATTATGTCCGGATGGCACAGGCGGGTGCGTTCTCTGAGTATACCATTGGCATGTTGGGCCTCTGTGCCTTTTGTAAAATTTGTCTTGATTGTCCTGTTTAAATTGACGATCCATAAACCCAGAGTCCGAAAGCAAATGTCACACAAGTAAATGTGATGTTGCATTGCTGCAATTTTCCATGTCGGAGAAGTCCTTCTAACAAGATATATATTCCGTTGTTTGGAGCAGGCCTATGACTATTACGCCCCAGTTTTGCTAAACATCTTGCAGACCTTTAACCTGACATAGACGCAGACCTCGCATGTTCAAGTTCAGATCTGACAGGTGCCGAAAATATTGATTCCGGCAAGAATGCAATATCTCAGTGGGTTATTGTTTTCCTAAGTACGTGGAGTGCTTTCTACAACATTGGAGATAATGGTATCGTTGTCTTCCTGATATTCCCCCGAACGGAAGCTCTACCCATTTATGGTACAATGTGTAAGTTACAGATTTGTAGGGAATAGTCTTAAGACTTTTCTACTTTGACCAGGATTCTTCGAACTTGCAACAGTCGTTTGAGAAGATCAAGAGAGAAAGGGGTAGTGTGCAATGTATCTGGCGGACGTATATGGAAAAAGTTCGAAGAATGTTTCTGTATAAATACAATAATAGAAATACCGGTTATGTTTGAAACGTACCCTCAATCTGATAGCCAGTGAGATTATTGTGAAAGATCGCAATATGTATCATCATAAACGGGCCCAGATAAAAGTACATGTCATTCATTCCCACATTATATC